TTTTAAATGGACGTATATGAAGAATGTATTATTTATCTTTCGTCCCTACTGAATTCTCAACTTTTTAAGATCACTGGTCTTTAGTTTAAAATGTAAATACTTCTATCTTAAACATATAAACTGCTGCTTTTAAAAATTTGCTTTTTAAAATATCTAAACCATTCCGACTTTGCAAAGAAAACCAAAAACCTATCATACGACCTTTATGGATGTGCGATCGCCGTAGCAAACTAAGTCTCATATTTTGTCGCGAGCCGATTTAATAAACGTTTGCAGGTCTTAACTTGACCAGTGGACCTTGGGTTTGACACCCGTGACCATCATTTTTTCTTTCTTTCCGCAAGACTAATTATAGTGACCTATCAGCCTGCTTAGTCCTTCCAGGGATGAACCTCTGACATGGTCTATTTTTACCGGTGGAGGCACAGACGATTCATAATCAAATTACAATCAACAACTCACTTCGAAGACAATGTTACAGATTCAGTAGTATTTAATTTTATGGTGGCTGAAGTCAGGAACGAAACAGAAGTTGACTCAAGAGACACAATATTCATTTCATCAAACCATAGACTTGACACATGGCTCAATTTCCTTAACCGAGAACTGTCATGGCTGCCGCTCTTGTCGCTCTACAAAAACTTTACTGCGAAACGTGAGCACGTTGATCGTCCCAACTCACTTTCATCGAGTGCGAACGGTACCTTTCCCTCCTCCCTTGCCCTTCTTGATAGTGGTGACAATGAAGGGAGTGGGACGAACGTACACATCTTCCTGATAACAAAACCTCATGAAAAAGGTCTTTTCTGGTTATTATTATCGAAACCAATGTTATAATATCATCATTCTTGCAAGTGTTGTGGTTAGTATCGTTGTTGTTGTTTCTTTTGTTGATGATGTTGTTGTTGTAGTTGTTGTTGTCGTTGCTGTTGTTGTTGTTGTGGTTGTCGTTGTTGTTGTTGTGGCTGCTGTTGTTGCTCTTCTTTTTCTTAATCTGTTTATATCCCTCGTGTATTTCCATTCAGAGACATCTGGAACCGTTTCCAAAAAGCCGATTATAACCGGAAAGCGAACCGCGGTGACGGCTGCCAGTAAGGAAGTGACGTTGCTATGTGGCAACTTGCCCAAAGATACCTCGGAAACTATCGCATTCCTTGCCGGAACTGCTGCAGCAGGTTTGTTTCTTTATTTATTTGCCCTTTTGTTTTGTGTTTTGGACGTTTTTTGTGTCTCTTTTAGGAAGATGGAAACAAGAGTAAAAAAGTGATCAGAGGGCTTTGTTTTGTCGTTTGTGTGTGTATGTGAGTGTGTGTGTGTGTATGTATGTATGTATGTGTGTGTGTCTGTGTGTGTGTATGTGAGTGTGTTTATGTGTGTGTGTGTGTGTGTGTATCTGTGTGTGTATCTATGTGTGTGTGTGTGTGTATTTGTGTTTGTGTGAGTGTGTATCTGTGTATCTGTCTGTGTGTGTGTGTGTTTATGTGGGTGTGTGTGTGTATGTGTGTGTGTTTTTGTGTATTTGTGTATAATGTATTTAGGTAGATCTAAGTATGAAATTCAAGTTTGCAGGATGAATTTGCTTATTTTATCAGTATCAAAAGCTTCCATATGAATCAATCTATTGAGAGAGAGAGAGAGAGAGAGAGAGAGAGAGAGAGAAAGAAAGAGAGAGGAAGAGAGAGAGAAAGAGAGAGAGAGGGAGAGAGAAAGAGAGATGGTACATAGAGACAGAGAGAGCTAGAGAGATGGAGATAAAGAGAGAGTCACAAATAGATGGACAACTACA